GAGAGAGAGAGAGAGAGAGAGAGAGAGAGAGAGAGAGAGAGAGAGAGAGAGAGAGAAATGATCGATGTATGTAGCAGTAGCATATCACACTTAATTTGTTACATTGTACAGCATTCAGTGACGAGAACATCGTTTAGTCTATAATCACGTGACCGCTCGTTGATGAATCCCTGCATACATGCGATGCACGTGCGGTGCACATCTTGTGTAGGTGCGGCAACGAACGTACGATGCCATTATAAACCTGCCGACCATCCAAACATTAATTAAGGTAATAGCGTTTGATAAAACACCTCCGTATTTGGTACCAACTCTCTGGAGATCGAACGAGCGCCATATGTTCGATCCAGACTTTCGCTAACCAAACCACCCGGTTATATATTGCCTCGAGCACCAGGGGCAATATCTAACGCGCAAACGACAAAAAGGAAAAATATCCGATAACAAAAGACATTAAATAAATCAATGAAAAGGCAGTCTAATAAAACAAATACATTCCCGTCCCGAGTGGCATCCATTTTGTGCAGTCGCTCGCGGGCCGCATCGCACGGACAGTGAACCATGAGTGAACACAGTAGTCACAATACAATACAGACAACGTCGATTATTACGCAGTCCTTCCCTAATATATCTGACCAGTGTTGAATAAATCCGCAGCAAAGCGCAATATTTCCACCGAGTAATCTCGCACTCACGTCTTTCGTCGTGATTTCCGATGGCAGAGCCCACACCACCACCAGGAGAGCTTGTCCGCTATACGATAGATTGCTATATTGTTCCCGCGCGCGGCGTGTGCAACCTACTAGCTCCAGAAGCTGAGAATCGATCGCGGTAAAAACCGGCTGAATTGCTATAGATACGCGCTATAATTATACATCTACGATAAATATGGGACAAATCTACTCTTATAATGGCGCGAGCGCGTGCGGATAGAAACCGCGCCTGTGAAAAATCAATACCGAACGCGTTTTCACACAAAAGCTTTTTGCGAAGGCTTTGCCGTTACGCAACCCGACAATTCTGCAACACCACACTTCGTACACCTCAACCGTGAACGTGACGTCAGAGGACAGACACCGGTAATCGATCAGAATAAATCGATTGATTTTGTTCAAGAATGCCGTAGATCTGCGGGTGTAGTTAGTTGTATATGACCCGTGTTTGTGTATGTATATAATAATACCTAGCAGTTGGTCGTATAGCAGCTGTAGTAAATATGCTTGCAAATCATGTATAGCAGATCGAGGAACGAGTTATGAGATACATTGTATATTCATTCTGTGTGGTTGTCAATAGAGAATGAGATGTATCTGATCTAAAGAGCATGAGATAACGTGTATACATGTCGTATATTGTCATCGAAAGGGTATGAGATACACAGTATCTGCTATCTATTGATTTTGAGATAATGTATATACGAGATATCTGGTCGTCAAAAGAGCGTGAGATATAGTGTGCAAATACACGGCTTTGGGTCGTCAAAAGAGTTCGAGATAGAGTGTATATATGTCCGCGGTATCTGCTTATCTATTGAGGTTGAGATAGTGTATATACGTGATATCTGGTCACCAAAAGAGTATGAGATGTATATATATATATGAGAATGTGACTATATATATATATGAGAATGTGACTATATATATATATATGTGTGTGTGTGTGTGTGTGTGTGTGTGTGTGTGTGTGTGTGGGTGGTGTTGTGTGTGTGTGCTGTGTGTGTGTGTGTGTTGCTGGTGTGCTGTGTGTGTGCTGTGTGTGTGTGTGTGTGTGTGGTATGCTGTGTATAATTATGCGTATGAGATAGCGAGTATGAGATAGACTGTATATATAGTATATATATATTATATATTATATATATATCATGCTATGTATATATACGCGGAATCTGGTTATCCAATGAGTTCGAGATATACGTGATATCAGGTGTAGATAATAGGGAAGGAGTGCTGACTCAATAACAAGCCGGAAATTCGCTCATTTACTAGCCTTGAATACCTACGATTTACTACGCCGTAACTCATCCAACTTGAGCTCAAATCATACACAGTATATTCGCCTAGCATCGTGCGAAATCGTTTCTGGCAACAGAATGGATAATCGTGGCGTACGTTTTAGTCTGTATCTCCGGATTGCGGGTGTATACGAGGAAACGATTTCGCACGATGCTAGGCGAATGTACTGTGTATGATTTGAGCTCAAGTTGGTTGAGTTACGCGTAGTAAATCGTAGGCATTCTAAGGCTAGTAAATGACGAATTTTCCTTGTTTATTGAAGGCACACTCCTTCCCTATTATCTACTTCTGGTGATATCGATGGAATATATCATAGTTATATCTGGCCATCCGTGGAACATGAGAAAGATCGCACGTGTGGAACGAGAATGAAGGTTTGAGTGCGTGGTAGGTGATACCAGCAGGTGTCCGCGGTGATCGACAGCGCAAGGAGGTACGTGTGTATCAGGGGCGGATCCAGGATTAAGGGGTGGTGTCCAGGAAGAAATGAAAGGCACTTTTTCATACTTAATTTTCCTGGTGTTTTAAAAAGCTGCCGAGGGGCACTTAGGGGGAGGGGGAACGTCCCAAAATAAAAATTTAAAAAATTGGTGCATTCTGAGAGCATCTGAGCAGTAATTTTAGGGCACTTTGAAATTAAAGGGGTGATTCGGACCCCCCGGACCCCCCCCCTAGATCCGCCCTGTGTATAACTCCACATTCTTGCTAACTCACCACACAAGCTATGCGGACGGCCTGAGTAACTACCCGAGACGTCTCCATAACCCTGCCGTCTACGAGTATTGTTTTCCATTAGTGTGTTGCCCTCCACCCCCGTAAATGTTACGCCCTGTTCTGAAATGCTTGGTTCCTCGTAGCTGTGAGGTGTGCGCGTGTAATATTGGTGTTTATGAGAACGTGACGATATACATCAACAATCATCATCATCATAACGCATCAACAATAATACATAACACATCAACATCACACATCAACAATACATCAACACATCACAATACAATACAACAATACATCAACAAACAACAATACATCAACGTTTGCTAGCGGTGGGACGCGCGTGGGGATGCATTCACGACAAACACGCGTAACATCGGCCATCTTAATATACGTGAAAGTGTATAAACATTTACGATATCCTGTTGCTTCTTGTCTCATATTATATATGCATATTATTTATGTATGATGTGAATATATTAATTACTTAGCCTGTATTGCTACCCGTATCGCAAACGGTTACAAAATATACATATTCTATATATAAATATATAAAAATATATAAATGTTGTTATACATTAAAAATTATTTTACGTGACAACACGCTCGTACATATTTTTCGTGTTCCTTGTGATTCTACTATACATTAAGTCTATTACAATTTTAAGTATTTAAAACAATGTATATACTACAAATACTTACAAATCTATATACCATATTAACCGGAATCAACATATCTTCAAACATAATAATAATGAACAAAGGGTTTATATATAATCGATTCGAATACGGAAATTGAATTCAACTTTTTATCGTGACGAAAACGTTCTGAATTTCCCGTAATAAACCTTAAATTGTTTATTCCGGCTCATAACTCAACGAATATATATATATATATATATATATATATATCCGTCTTCGATATAGTCCCTTCAAAGACTTTTGAAGACTAACATTTATGAAGCTATGAGATTATCGGACGTGTCAGGCGTATTCACACGCATTCACACAGAAACTGCTACTCGTCAAAAATTTACTTTTGTTCACATAATATAACACACCCTCGGAATGCACACGACGCAAAATGACGTCACCGTCGTCGCCAGTAGGAAAACCTTCGCGGCTAATGACGTCACGCTGGCCGCGGCGCGCCGAACACTGTTTGCGCATGCGCTGTAGCGCCCCCTCCGTACAGGGCTTCAGCTATTTCGGCCATCGGAAGCCATCACTGGTTTCTCCCATCTTCTACGGCCACATACGTGAGTATACGTACAACTCGGTGCCACACGCGTAGACGCGGTCACCCGCCAGCCCGTTCTCTGTAGCAGTGGCAAGAGGCCGCACTCGTGTAATATTAACGTATTATTATTATTATGTACTTCACGTACCTCGCGATCCCCGATTCCGTACCGTTGCTGATGGGGAAATAAACAGACGCAGCAGGAGCAGCAGCAGCAGCAGAAGTAGCAGCAGCAGCAGCAGCAGTAGTAGCAGCAGAAGCAGCAGCAGCAGCAGCAGCAGCAGCAGCAGCAGC